GGGACAAACTTCCGGAAAATTTGACCATTGCTATAGGAGACGACGAAAGGGTGTGGCGCAAAGGCAGTCCCTACGACATCATTCACGCGCGAGTCGTCGAGAGCATCGTAGATTGGCAGGACTTCCCTAAAATTGCCTACAACAATCTCAACCCGGGTGGTTGCTTGATCGTCGAAATGGTTGATCTTATGCCTTGCGGCGATGAGCAGAGGTCTTTTCCAGCAGACTCGGCTCTCAAGGCCTGGGCAGAGAAGTTCCGTCAGTACGATAAGTGTCAAGCTGATCAACAGGAAATCGAGGCTTTACTTCGAGATCAGGGTTTCGACGTTACATGCGCAACGATTGATTTACCGATCAATCCCTACAGGCAATCTGAAAATGAGCGAGAGAGCGGCAAACGCTTTCATTGGTGCCTCAGACAGTTTCTGCAGGCCAAATGCTTTGCATCTCGTCGCGAAGCCCCGCCGCAAGAAATGTTGGACCTGGTGGCGGAAGCAACCAAGGAAATCCGGAATCCCGATAATCATGCCTTCTGTAAATGGTATTTGACCCATTACAATCTGTGGATGATCTTTCTGGCTCATTGACCTTTGCTCTGTTTAGCTACATCTTGACGGCTTCCAAAAGAGTGGACAACTGTAAACTATGGTGGTGAACTCAGCAGCACCCACAGTTCACAGGCCAAAGATGCTGAGACATGGGTGGGTCTACTGCACATTTGGATAGAGAGCATAGCAAATGGATCTTGCAACAACATTTGTCTTGGATCGTCCAGAGGCGATTTTGTCGCCCTGTCGTGGTCGCACGCGCTGATGCATATTACGCGATTAAGGTGTTAATCTTCCACAAGTCTCCTACGATGTCGTCTAACATGCCGAATCACTATCTGGGCTATGAAACCTATTGTCTTGGGTGAATATAATGGCATGGAGGGCCACCATTCCTCCTCCATCAGCAACGTGTTAGTATGGCTTCACCACACTTAAAATGACAACCGCTCTCTATGGACTGATACCAGGCTTTTTGTGTCTATGCCCTATGCTCGCTCTCCACTCCACCCCATTAGCGACTGCACTACCTGAACTTGCCTCCAAGTAGGCGCCGCTGAAAGGCCCGTCGAGTGACCGGGCAGGAGAGGCCAGACGAAACGCGATTAATAGCAAAACGACCATGTATTGCTAAAACCTGCGACCGAGCGCGTAGTCATCCTGTTCTACAGCATCTGACGACTATACTCAGCGCTGTTCACCGGCTGCTGGACCCGTTGGCTCTTCGTCCACTTTTTGCAGGCATACTCGACCTCCCTCTCGTCCGATTACCTTCCAAAACGATCCATCAAGCTCAAGAAAGATGCCCAAAGAGCCTCCTGCAGCCAGTTGGGAGACAAGCAAGCTCACTTTCATGCTCGGACCAACATCTCGGACCTCTATATTTAGGGTGAGCAACCAAAGGTAGAGAGCTTCAGTAGGGGCAAAGACTGACCTGAGGTGGCTATCACCTGATCGACTATCTTCTTCATACTCTTGGCTAACTTCAACGCAAGAATCGTCGCCTCTCTCTCTTACATGAGTTTCGCAAGTTGCATTGTCTTGTCATCCATTTTCGTGGATTTCGTATACATTGTTCATCATGGCCCGGTTAAGGTACATAGGGCTCGCATTAATATTTACACGTTTTTCACCTTCGTCCATAAAATCGAGGGTAGAAAATGGAAGTTAGGTTCAAATGACCGCAAACATGTTGGGCAGCTCGAGAAGGCTGAGCATATCCCTGTTTCGTGGCAGCCTTCTTGACGACCTCTCCACCTGAAGTCCGAGAGCTTAGACCCATGTTGCATAATCCGACATCCATAGATGGCGGTGACAAGGTGGTCACGAATTCCTGCCCCTTGTTCATGGCTGCTTGACTCCGGCCGCAGAGCCTCTGAATCTGCTGATTAACCATCCCAGGTTCAGAGACAGAAATCCAGCACTCCATTTCCGCGATTAGCGGATATCGGGCTCATGCAAGTTGAGTTCGGACAACGCACATAGTGTACATAGAAGCAGATCTCGGAGTCTGAGAGTCAATCAAGCTTGGCCCCACCGATGTATCCCGTTCGCGAATGGGTCCAGAAAACAGAACAATATCCGCTTAAGAACGTGGAGGCCAATTCTGGTTCCGACCGTACACCATCGTAACTGGAACTTTTTGGGATGTGTTTTCCACATCAACAAGTAACAAGTGTTCATTTGCTCCCGCTGTCGTTAGTGTTTGAGATGGCTGAGCCGTGTGGGCGTACTGCCAGACTACACGCCGTGGCTATGCTCGCCTCACTGGCGAGCATTCAGCGCAGCGGCGTAACAGGTCGCGCGACAGAACCTGGGATACCCTCGCTTCGAGGAAACTCACTGCATAAAGTCATCACTGAATTAACCGCACACTCAAGCCAGGATTCCACTACAAGGGATAGGTGCCACTCGTTCAGATAGATCTATTGTAGGTCCAGCAGATCGCCTTTAGAGAATACAACCATACTTTTCCCCATCCATTATGCCACTGCTGACCATACTGAAGATCTATTAGCAGACCTGACCCCAAAATGAAGTCTCCCTGTTTGCCTGTCCGCTGCATCAACCCAGAAACTGCGAACTATAGCTTTGGTCGACCTTGCCCTGCAGCCCCTCGGGCCCCCGGATACCCATATTCCTGATCTGATCACAGATTAAGGTCACATCGAGCGCATTTGTCCATGGCAATTGGCAAAGCCAGTCAGGGCTGCACTGTATGGCAGGGTACGCGAAGGTCGGCACGCGGTACGGTACTCGCTGGAAGCTGTCGTCGCCTTTCCGTAAAAGTCTGAACCACCGGCTTCTCAGCAGAATGATGCGTCAACAGCTGCGATATCTTGAATCTGAGGAACCAACGGAAAGGCCTTGACTTCGACTATGGACTATTTGCGCCGAGAGCTCAAATTCCCTTGGTGAGTACAATGGGCATTATGTAATTGATATGATGGCTCACAATCTGTCAAGATTCACATGGCAGGAAGCTTCTTGTTTTGACAGTGTCACTCATTGGCGAAAGTCGACAATCGCCAACCATGTCCAGTTCTGGACTGTTGCCAGATGCATTTGCATATCACGTTGCGAGGATATGCTCGACTGAAATAGTCGTTGAGAAGTTAGCCACATTAAGAAATACGACACGAACCATTGTTTGCAGCATGATCAGTATTCAGGCGTGTCCCATTCGAACTCGATCTGGATCGCCACGGTGGCATCAAGTGAGATGCCGAGCGCCACTTTCCGTGAGGCTCGAGAGCCTTGAATAGGAAGATCTGAGTTTACAGGAATGTCGTCTGCTTTCAACATCTTGCTCGCTTCACGGGGGACACTTTGCCGAGGATAGACTGAAAGCAACCCAGTCGCTGTCGACGCGAACTCGATGTGAAGAGAGAGTCTGTCGATTTGGACATGTAGCGGCTCTTGTCCTAACCGGGTAAACCGATGCCACGGCAGATCCAGCTGCGTGATTTGAACGAAAGGTGACAGCATGACGAGCCACGAGTGGCATTTGGTAAGTATTGCACTCATGCCATCGTCAGGCCGTATTGGGAGCGCGTTCTCCTCGGTCTCAACGTGTCGTTCAGCGAGGCTCGAGGTGGCTTCGCTAGACAAAGGTAGACACGCCCGACTTTCAAGAGGATAGCGAGAGATGGTTTGTACTCCGCCTTTGAGCCTTCGTATCGCCTCTCGCATATCTTTCACCATGCTTTGCACCATCGACTGAAACCTGTCCGCCTGCGTGGCGTTCATCCAGTCAACATCGGGTAGAGTCCACTTCTCGTAAAGCCGGCCATGTGAATGAGACACCACATAGGTGCCATGTGTGCGAACGAATAGGTCGCACAAATAGCAGGCGGACTTGCTGCATCCAATTGCTCGCGGCGCTGGCGTGTGTGGCTGCTGTTCTAGATGAAAGATCTGTTGGATCTCTGCGTGCACGAAGCAATATTGGGCGATTCCTGGACGACGAAAACCTAAGGGTGCTTCCAGAGCCATGACTTCGATATTGCTGAACATATGCCGATAGCTGGGCTTCCGAGCGAGACGAGCTAGATCGTTACACGTGAAGCAGTATCTGGCCAACTTGTCAACCTGGCGTATCTCCGGGCTCTCGGCGAACCGTGTTTGAACGCCCAACGACTTCAGATGCTCCTCGACTGAAGTTGTGCTGCCTAAGCGTGCGACTTCCACGCAGCTTATGACAATCATCTTCAGGACGCTCAGGGAGGCGTTGATCTCTGTGTGTTGCTGGACAAGCTTCAACGTATTCACCAAGTCCTTCAACCGTTTGAGGAGTGATGTGATGTGCGTAGAAGACTGCGAGGTATCGCGGATTCCAAGCATGCAGCTCCGTAGTCTGTCTTGCAAAGAGAGCTGCGGTGCTTTAAAGTGCCGGGGTTGTGCCATCCATGGCGGACGCAGTCGGCTGAGAATGCGGCTACTACTGAAGAGGAGTACCATGTCGAGTAGCTCCTCTCGTAGCGAATGTTTAATACGTTCTGCAAGCACATCAGACCTTAGTCATAGAAGACTTCTTGAAAGATATACCTCTCCTGCTAAGCTTGCCCAGGTGTGTCATGATATTTGCGAGCTCGTGACGAGCGCCCGATGACGGGGTTGTGTTGCCGGCGAGCACAACCTGCAGTCGGTCAGGGTATTCACGCAGGGTTACGGTAGACACGAACTTGGCTCCTTCGTTGCGATGGGCAAGGAATGCAATCGAGTTGGTCATTTGGATTTCATCTTCGATCGAAAGAACGTTGGTATGAGCTTGTGGCGTCGCCCCTTCACGGTACGCTCGTGGCTCGGATGGAATGTTGGTCAGCTGCTGCAAAGACGCGATCGTTCCATGGAAGTCGGCCTTCAGCATAAGGGTCCAGAAGTTGGATGGGCTGGCCATGGTTGATCTCAGCCGTCGCGCAAAAGCTCTTTTGAACTATCAAGGTCTGAGACCAATTCCCGTTCAGGGTGTCTTCTGAGAGACGTACAGTATGCAATGGCTTACTTTAAAGATCTCATCCTCGTCGATTGCACATGTGCTGTTGGTGCCCAATGTTCGGTAATCGGTGCTTTGGTTCGCCCGTTATGATTTGCAGCCATCTTGGAGCGTGTCACGACACTGCAATTGGGCCACGATACGGCGCAGCCGCCAGGCGTACCGTCAGCGCGTGCCACTGCTCGCCTGTCTCCGCTATTTGACAAGCGGGCTTAATGGCGTAAGGTGCGCAAGCTAGCAAATGTTTGCTGTCACCTCGTCCGAAGAGCATGCTACTTCGGCAGCCCTGCGCCAGAGGTACCGTCAGGCGGGCGTTCGTTCAGGGTATGCTCCGGCTGCGTTGACCAGGTGCTCCAACGCCATCCTGACGATGCGTCCAAGTGTGCCAGCCCATAAACCTGTGTTGGAGCACCGTTGCGAGGGCTGATGGCAAGCGATTTGTGTCGCTATCCCGGCCTCGTGCAGTTGAGGTGGCGGCACAACACGCGGTGGCGACGCGTCCTAGATTGCGAACTGCCAATCACAGCGACGCGTCCCCTCAGCACTCGAGGGAAGAGACACGCCACAAGACGACAGAGGCCGATCGTGCTGCCAGAGCACACTGGAGGGTCTCGAGTGGTGCCTCTTTCCAGGATAACGTGTTGCTAGTCATTGCGTACGAACACGTCGTGCTGCCGTTGTCTGCACTCAGCGTCGTTCATC